GCTTGGGCGACGGAGGCCCGCAGCATACCTGACTGGGCTGGTGGAAGCTTGCATGTGATGCCCAGATCCCGCCACTGCAACGTCCAGCCTGGCACGAGTGGAGACACTCCGTCTCAAAAAAATAAAAAAACAAAAGTCTGGACGGAGTGGCAGGCCATCCTACAAGCACCCGGACACTTGGCATCAGTGGTGTCAAGACAACTCCAAGAAGGTTTTCCGTGATCCTTCAAGCCCTGTGTTCCTTCCTGGTGATCCTGCCTTCAATTTGATTGTACAGGTACCACAGCAAGCCAGTGCTGTGTGCTCCAAATTCCAGGGCGTCCTGCAGCTCAGCCCCTGCACTGAGCACAAGGAATCTCTGTGGGGCCAGGAGCAGGGAGTCACCCCTTTGGGGCCCACAACACCTGGCTGTCCCCAGACTCGTGTCCAGGGAAGATCGTGTTGAGGGGACCTCAAGGAGAGCGGGGCAGGGATGCCTGAGCAGGACAAGGACCCCAGAGTCCAAGAGAATCCTGATGATCAGAGAAGGGTCCCCATGGTCACCGGGGATGCACGGTCTGCATTTCGGTCCCTGCGGGACAATGGAGGCCTCTCTCCCTTTGTGCCCAGGCCTGGGCCACTGCAGAGAGACCTCCATGCCCAGAGGTCAGAAGTCAGATATAAGCAGACATCCCAGACCTCCTGCATGAGCTCGTGTCCCAAACGAAATGCCATCTCGAGCTCCTACAGCTCCACGGGAGGCTTCCCGTGGCTAAAACGGAGGAGGACAGGGGGGCCAGCCTCATCCCACTGTCAGCTGACCCTCAGTTCCTCAAAGACAGTGAGTGAGGCCAGGCCTCAGGCTGTCCCTTCGGGTCACACCCAGTGTGAAAAGGCAGCAGATACAACACCAGGGCAGACACTCACCCCCAGGACTGGCTCCCCCAGTTCCCAGGCCTCTAGGCCCCGTAGACGCAAGTTTCCCCTGCTGCCACGTAGGCGAGGGGAGCCTCTGATGCTGCCACTTCCCTTAGAGTTAGGGTTCCGGGTCACTGCTGAAGACCTGGACCTGGAGAAGGAGGCGGCGTTCCAGTGCAGTGTACTGCGGGGTGAGGCCAAGGCCATCTGGGACTGCAGACCCTCACGGCCTTCCCACACTTTGTCCTAACTTGCAACAGGGACTTGTGGTCTGTTTGCTGTTTCTAAAGCACCCAGGATGGATGCACAGCAGGAGAGAGACAAGTCCCAAGACTCCCGGGGCCCAGTGGCTCCCCTAGCATCTGTTGCAGAGGCTCCCTCTACAGCTCCTGTGTCTAGGAAGAAGCACAGACCACCAGGCCCCCTGTTCTCCTTCTCAGATCCCCTTCCTGCCACCTCTTCCCACTCCCAGGACCCAGCCCAGGTCACCTCGCTGATTCCTGCCCCATTGCCAGCTGCAAGCATGGATGGGGGCATGAGAAGAGCAAGGCCTGGCACTTCTGCTCCTGCAGCTGCTGCAGCGGCCCCTCCCCCCTCCACATTGACCCCCCACGTCGGGGTCCCTACTGAGTGGAGTAGATGGAGGCCCTTCACATTTCTGGGCCTCAACCACAGCTGCAGCAGGTGCCTAGAGGTCAGAAGTCAGATATAACCAGAGATCCCAGACCTCCTGCATGAGCTCGTGTCCCGAACGAAATGCCATCTCAAGTTCCTACAGCTCCACAGGAGGCTTCCCGTGGCTAAAGCGGAGGAGGACGGAGGGGCCAGCCTCATCCCACTGCCAGCTGACCCTCAGTTCCTCAAAGACAGTGAGTGAGGCCAGGCCTCAGGCTGCCTCTTCGGGTCACACCCAGTGTGAAAAGGCAGCAGATACACCAGGGCAGACACTCACCCCCAGGAATGGCTCCCCCAGATCCCAGGCCTCTAGGCCCCGTAGATGCAAGTTTCCCCTGCTGCCACACAGGCGAGGGGAGCCTCTGATGCTGCCACTTCCCTTAGAGTTAGGGTTCCGGGTCACTGCTGAAGACCTGGACCTGGAGAGGGAGGCAGCGTTCCAGTGCAGTATACTGCGGGGTGAGGCCAAGGCCATCTGGGACTGCAGACCCTCACGGCCTTCCCACGCCTTGTCCTCACTTGCAACGGGTACTTCTGGTCTGCCTGCTGTTTCTAAAGCACCCAATATGGATGCACAGCAGGAGAGACACAAGTCCCAAGACTCCCGGGGCCCAGTGCCCCGCTAGCATCTGCTACAGAGGCTCCCTCTACAGCTCCTGTGTCTGGGAAGAAACACAGACCACCAGGCCCCCTGTTCTCCTTCTCAGATCCCCTTCCTGCCACCTCTTCCCACTCCCAGGACCCAGCCCAGGTCACCTTGCTGATTCCTGCCCCCTTGCCAGCTGCAAGCATGGATGGGGGCATGAGAAGTCCAAGGCCTGGCACTTTGGAGCCAGTTCCAGCCCTGCAGCCACACCCATGGGCTTTGGGAGCAGAGAGGCAGCCCCAGCTCTGAGTTCCCTCAGAAGAAAACAGGTAAAGGCCCCGAGCACCACACATGGCAATGGGGCATGAGGGGGCCTGAACACCAGGGGGCCCCCCAGGCTGAGCACATCCATGGTGACTACGGGACCTGGCACAGGGAGCAACTCTGTTGCTCACATCCTGGGGAACCATTTAAGCAGACCGCTAGTTGCAAGTCAGGGACCCAGTGCCACTGCAAACAAGGCAGGCTGCACGTGCAAGTCTGGGCCGGCCTCTGACCCTAGCAACCCCACTGCCCACATGGGCACAGCAAGGAAGAACCTGGCCTCTAAGGCTCCCTCGTGCGCTGTCAGGGGTTCTGCTGGACACATCCAATGGGCCATCGTCCAGCTCATCCTTCTCCACATCGGGCTTTTGAGCCCGTCGTAAATTCCTTGCCTAGAGTGAGGTCCAGAAGAGTTTTCTCCTTCCAGTGTTTTTGTAGTTTTGTATCTTAACATTCAAGTCTTGGATCTATCTCGAGGTGATTTTTGTATATGCTGAGAGATAAGCGTCCAGGTACATTCTTCCACATGTGGCTATCCAACCCTCCCAGTATTCATTGAAGAGGGTGTCCTTTCCCCAGTGTGTGTTTCTGTCGGCTCTGTCAAAGATCAACTGGCTGTAAATATGTGGCTGTTTTTCTGGGTTCTCTCATCTGTCCCGTTGATCTAAGTGTCTAGTTTTATGTTAGGATTATACTATTTTGGTAACTACGCACTTGTCAAATATTTTGTAGTTCTAATTTGCAGTGAAATGGGATGCCTCTAGTTTTGCTGTTTTGACTGAGGATGATTTTGGGTCCTTGAGCTCTTTTTTGATTCTTTTTTATGAATTTCAGGACTTTCTAATTCTGTGAGTGGTGACATTGGTATTTTGGTGGGGGTTGTATTGAATCTCTAGACTGCTTAGGGCAGTGTGGTCATTTTAATGCTATGAATTCCTACCATGAACATGAAATGATTGTCTATTTCTTTCTCTCCTCTTAAACATTTTCTCAGTGTTTTGTAGTTTTCCTTGTAGAAATCTTTCACTTCCTTGGTAAAATTTCTTCTGTGGCATACATTTTTCCATTTTGTTGCTATTGTAAATGGGATTGCCTTCTTAATTCTTTCCCAACCAGACCATTATTGGTGTATAGAAATGCTGCTGATGATTGTTGTTGTTGTTGTTGTTGATTCTGTATCCTGCAAATCATTGTATTTATTTATCAAATCTAGGAGTTTTCTGGTGGATGTTTCTAGATCCAAGATCACATCTTCATCAGACAAGGATAATTTGATGTCCTCTTTTCCAACGTGGATGCCTTTTACTGTTTTCTCTTGCCTGATTGTGTGATGTCGAATAGGAGTGGTGAGAACCGGCATCCTCATCTTGTTCCTGTTTACAGAGGAAAATGCTTTCAACTTTTCTCCATTCTGTAGTAGGTTAGCTATGGCTTTGTTGTATGCAGTTTTTATTATTTTCAGGTATGTTGTTTTGTTTGTTTTTGTTTTTTGAGACAGAGTCTCGCTCTTGCCGCCCAGGTTGGAGTGCAATGATGCGATCTTAGATTATGGCTACCTCCACCTCCTGGGTTCAAGTGATTCTCCTGCCTCAGCCTCCCGAGTAGCTGGGATTACAAGCACCTGCCACCACACCCGGCTAATTTTTGTAGTTTTAGTAGAGATGGGGTTTCACCATGTTGGCCAGGCTGGTCTCGATCTCCTGACCTCAGGTGATCCCCCCACTTCAGCCTCCAAAAGTGCTGGGATTACAGGCATGAGGCACTGTGCCCAGCCCGGCCATTTTCAGGTATGTTTCTTCTATACCTAGTTGGTTTGCTCCTTTTTTCAAGACATGGTCTCACTCTGTCTTTTGTAGTGGAATACAGTGGCACAATCAGAGCTGGAGCTTTGAACTCCTGGGCTTAAGCCACTTCAGCCTTCTGAGTAGCTTAGACTATGGGTGAATGTCACCAGAGCAGGCTAGTTTTTATTTTTTTGTAGAGATCTCTGTTCCTCAGCTCGGCCTTGAACTGTTGACCTCAACTGATCCTCCCAGCTCAGCCTCCCAAAAGCACTGGGTGGACAAGGATGAGCCACCGCCTGGCCCAGAGTCACATTTTAACATCACATTCTCACTGCTGGGCTCAAGTTTTGGCAGTGACTGAAAACCCTAAAGGAGAGTCTCTGGTCAGGCCCGGCCCAGTCTGTGCATAGGAGGGGGATGGAAAAGTGGCCCGTGGATGGTTCTTTTGGAGAACTGGCCAGACAAGCGCTGAGATGCCGTTTCCTGGAATACAGGGCCGTGTGATGTCCAGCCCAGCTGCCAGGTCCAGGGCCCTCGACACCGTCTAGTTTGGGAGCTTATGCAGAGGTGGCCTCGGTTGCCCAAAGCAGCTGGTCTCCCTTCCAATCTGGTCCCATTTGAGAGATGCAACTGGGCCCCGTCTTCCAGGAAAACATTTCAGTGTGTGCCTGTCTTTGTCCCCGCACTGGCTGGCCTCTCTGTACCGTGAGAACTTGGGTTATGCAAGGCTCTGCCAGTCAGCTGAGCATCACGAAGCAGCTCTCTTCTGTTCCAGTGAGGCCGACCAGGCTCCAACACCCCTGCCCCGGGTCTGACTGTTCTCCCCTCACCCGGAAGTGACCCCCAACCCGATCCCGCTCCCTGTCTTCTGGCAGCTGCTCTGGGGAGGGGCATTTTGGCCTCAAGGGCTGAGCGTGTCATTTTCTGTTTTCTGTTTATCTTTCCAGAGCTGTTTGGGACAGCCCATGCGTCAGTCCATGTACTTCTTTGGAAGGCAATCGGGGCTTTCTTTCAGGGGTGGGTATAAAAGTTCTTGTGGCTGGGCGCAGTGGCTCACGCCTGTAATCCCAGCACTTTGGGAGGCTGAGGCAGGCGGATCACAAGATCAGGAGATCGAGACTATCCTGGCTAACAAGGTGAAACTCCGTCTCTACTAAAAATACAAAAAAATTAGCCCGGCGAGGTGGCGGGCACCTGTAGTCCCAGCTACTCCGGAGGCTGAGGCAGGAGAATGGCGTGAACCCAGAGGCGGAGCTTGCAGTGAGCCCAGATCGCAACACTGAGCTACAGCTTGGGTGACAGAGTGAGACTCCATCTCAAAAAAAAAAAAAAGGAAGAAAAAAGTTCTTGTGACATTTGTGTATGAAATCAGCCTTTGCTACATGGATAGGACCAGCACGCTTCCGCGGCACGACTCTGCAATCTTACTACATTTATTTTTTTTATTTTGTATTTTATTTATTTATTCCTTTTGAGACAGAGTCTCACTCTGTCGCCCAGGCTGAAGTGCAGTGGCAAGATCTTGGCTCACTGCAACCTCCAGCTCTTGGGTTCAAGTAATTCTCCTGTCTCAGCCTCCTGAGTAGCTGGGACTACAGGCACACATCACAACTCCTGGCTAATTTTTGTATTTTTAGTAGAGATCGGGTTTCGCCATATTGGTGAGGGTGGTCTCGAACTCCTGACCTCAGGTGATGGACCTGTCTTAGCCTCCCAAAGTGCTAGGATTACAGGTGTACGTTTATTTATTTATTTGCGACAGAATATTGCTCTGTATTAATTAATTTATTTATTTAAGATGAAGTCTTGCTCCATCGCCCAGGCTAGAGTGCAGTGGTGCAATCTCGGCTCACTGCAACCTCTGCCTTCCAGATTCCAGCGATTCTCCTGCCTGTGTTCTAGGTAGCTGGGACTATAGGTGCCTGCCACCATGCCTCGCTAATTTTTGTATTTTTAGTATAGACGATGTTTCACTGTCTTGGCTAGACTGGTCTCGGACTCCTGACCTCATGAACCACCTGTCTTGGCCTCCCAGAGTGTTGGGATTACAGGCCTAAGGCACCGTGCCTCGGCCACATTTATTTATTTAATTTTTTAGAGACAGGGTCTTGCTCTGTTGCCTAGGCTGGAGTGCAGTGGCGCCGTCTCAGCTTACTGCAGCCTCCGCCTCCAAGGTTGAAGTGATTCTCATGCCCCAGCCTCCTGAGTAATTGGGAACACAGGTACGCACCACCACGCAGGGATAATTTTTTCTGTTTTTTTGTAGAGACACGGTTTCACCATATTGGCCAGGCTCGTCTCAAACTCCTGACCTTAGGTGATCTGCCTGCCTTGTCCTCTCAAAATACTGGGATTACAGGAGTGAGCCACCATGCCCGGCCTCTCACTACATTTAAATGATGCAGTGACTTATGTCTGTAATCCTAGCACTTCGGGAGGCCAAGGCAAGTGGATCACCTGAGGTCAGGAGTTCGACATGAGCCAGGCCAATATGGGGAAAACCCATCTCTAGTAAAACTAGCTCTGTGGCTGAGCTGGGTACGTTGCCTCACACCTGTAATCCCAACCCTTTGAGAGGCCAAGGCAGGAGGATTGCTTGAGGCTGGGAATTTTGAGAATAGCCTGGACAACATAGCCAGACCCCATGTCTACAAAATAATAATGATTAAAAAAAAAACAGGTGCAATGGCACACAGCTCTAGTCCAAGCTACTTGGCAGGCTGAGGCAGGAGGGTCCCTTGAGTCCTGGGATTGGAGGCTGCATTGAGCTATGATGGCACCACTGCACTCCAGCTTCGGTGACAAAATGAGGCGCTGTCTCTAAAAGAAAAACAAAATGGGCCTGTGAGTGTGGGTTTGATTTCCAAACAGGACCCAGAAGGCAGAGGACAGAGAGTGTGGTCACCCTTAGGTGCTGAACACTCAGAAACGGGCCCGCGGTGCTGAACACTCAGAAACGGGCCAGCGGCAGCCCTCGCCTCGCCTGCAGACACCAGATTGGGCAGAACAGCACGTGGCACTCACAGCTCTTGCAGCGAGGGCGGAACCCAGTGTGGACCCTTCTGCCTGTGGGAGGGGCTGCTGAGGCCTGCGGAGAGGCCAGGCTGGAGGCTCATCCCCTTGTCCAGCCCTTGGTGTGGTCTCTGCCAGGTCCCCAGCCCACCAGTGCAGGGCGCCCCTGAGCCTGCTGCTGCCATGGGCCCTGTCTCTACCCAGGACGTCCCCACACCCTCGCAGTGTCAGGGAAATGGTCATGGTGGCGGTGACACTCCCCAGGCAGGACTGTTGAGAGAAGCTGAGAAGGGTCACACTGCAGGCAGAGGCCCGTGTGACAAGCCCCTCTCACCCCGAGAGCTGACCAGGCAGCTCATGAGCAGAGCCACATCCCCGAAGTTCGAGAAAGATTCTGGCTGGGCTCAGCCACCTCACTGGCCACGGGCAGCCTTTGTCGTGTGAGCCTTGCTCTCCTGGTGAGGCTGAGGCTGACGGCTGATGTGGGCATTGCCGAGGGTAACCTGTGGCCCAGTGGATGTGGCCGGGTCTACTCAACCTGCACTCACCCAAGTAGGACCCAGGCTGCACGCCCATCTCCAGCCCAGGGCAGGTCCCCTGTAAGCTGGGCGAACTACTGAGGCCAAGGCGGGAGGCGGCTGACAACACCCACGGCCCATGCGGAGGTGGTGGAAAGGCTGGACTCAGCAGCAACACCAAACCCCAAACCAAGCAGAAACCACCCGAGACTGAGGGGCTCGTGCCAGAGCGGTGGACACAGGTAAGAACCCGGGACCAGGCTGTGTGTGGTGGGAGTCCTCCCTGTCCCAGGGCTCAGCACAGCAAAGACAGACCAGCTGCATCATCCTGGCGGCCATCTGTCCCTGTCCCACCTGCAGAGTCAGAACAGCCTCTCCCCAGTGGGGATCGTCTCTCCCTGCCCCAACCAGACTGCCCCCACTCCGTGGAGTTATGGCTGCTGCTCCAGCGTCCTAACGCTGCCCAGCTGGCACTGCCTGTGCTCACCCACACCCCCCAGGCCGGCCTTCCCTGCAGCCTGGGCTTAGCCACCTTGGCCTGATTGAGCACTGAGGCCTCCTGGACACCGAGCCCCATCACTGCACCTGCTGCTTCCAGCCCCACCCCACGGGCTCAGGGGTTCTTCCCAGCGGCGCTCATCATGAAATCAACATGCACGCAAGTCATCTCAGGGGACTTTTTAATGAAAGTGTCCGCAGTTCTTTCCCCCACGGTGGTGCATAGGTGGCTGAGCTCAGATTGCAGCTGCTAAGACACCAGCCACTTACTGAGAGAAAGCCAGGCTGCTTCAAACCCAGGGCCTGAAGCAAAAAAGCATCACTTCTGGTCAGGGAGTCTTGAAGCCATGCCTTGTGGGAGGTCACACTGGCATCTAGGCCTTTGCCTGCATTGCAGAAGAAGAGCCGGGTCCCCTCCTGGAGAATGCTGCGTTCCCCAGCCCCTCACCAGCTTTGCCACCACACAGGCTTTCGAGGCAGGAGGCCGGTAAGACACAGCTCTAGACCCAAAGCAACCATCAGCTCTGGGGCCCTGCAGGAGAGGAGCACTTTTAGAACATGGAAAAGTGTGGTCATCCCATCATTAGACAGCACACATCCTACATAAATAAAGTCATATGGGGAAGGTGGTTGGGGAGGGAACAAAAAATTGGCACAGACATTGATAGATTGGCTTCCAGTCTCAAGGCGACAGATGCACATCATGAGACCAGAGGAGACAGAGACAAGGGCTGGATTTGGCTTTTCTAAGCAACATGTGTTCCTGCGCAGGGCTGGACGGTCGCTGAGACAGAGATGGAAGCCAGGACAGGGGAGCCCACAGGGCCCAGATAGGTACAGAGGGCAGAGGCTCCTGTTCTGTCCTCACCACCCACGAGAGTGACACTGCTTGTAAACGGTGGCTGTGCTCACCTAGCAAGAAAAAAGCAAAACAAAATCCATACCACACACAGACACAAACAGAAAGCCGTCCAGAAGCAGAGAGAAGTGTCAGGTGCACAGCCCCGCTGTCAGTCTCCCGGATGAGCTGTGGGCTCAGCAGGAGCTGCCCATTGACACACAGGGGAAACCCACACCTTGGGAGCGGTCACCAGACAGAGCCACACTGGGGGCTGGTGTCATCCAGGGACCCCACACACTTTCTTGAATTCGATCCTGCTTCCCTCTGGGCAGCTGCATCCTTTCCTCCTGCAGGACCGTCTGGAAACTTGGCTCTGCTCTCCCTTCTCTCCTCTCTGCCCCAAACCCCTCTTTCTAAAAAAGTGATGCAGTGTTCATGGGGTTATTTCTTGAAAATACTTGGCGGCCTCCACGCTTCCGTTTTCTTTGAGCCAGGTGGTCAGGAGGGTTTACAAAGAATGCCTGGGCTCCCCCGCAGGTGCTGGCAGAGGGGGTAGCGATTGGTCCTGTGCCTCCACCTGCTCTGGGAGGGAGTCTTCCATCTCTAAGGCTGGCCCCCTCCTAACCCTCCACGTATCCTGTTCTCCAGACTTCGGAACCCCACTCCTAAGAGCAGTGGGGCCAGGCGCTTAGAGGAAGAGCAAATGCTGCCAGGACACGGATTATCCACAGAATACATTCTAGCATCGTATTAGGTATCTGAATCTGTTAGGAAAAAAAATTAGAAACTATGTATAAAACTTAAAAATATTCAAGTATCAAAAGCTTATTTAGGTTGAAAGTTTTAAAACAAGTCATCAGCAAGCTGCCACCAAGTGGAGACTTTTACAAAAGTTGAGCGAGTCTGCTGAGCTGAGAGGACAGAAATGAAGTCACCTGTGCTGGGGCAGGGGCAGGGACACCTGGGGCAGGGAGTGTGTGGGCAGAGAGAAACCAGAGAAGTCCAGGTCTGTGGAAACCAAACAGGAGAGCGTGCGCCGGAAGGGCGGTCAGGATCAGGGGACGAGGTCGCTCTCCCTGGAGAACGAACCCTAAAGTGCGTAGCCTGGGACTCCCTCCCTGGGGGTCCTGTCCCCCAACATTTCACAGCCTGCCTGGAGCTGCCTTCCAAGGAGGACAAACATGGCAACAAAAGACCCATTTCTGCACAACAATCCTTCTGGAAAGAAAAAGAAGCCAAGAATGGAGTCAAAACGCTACCCAGTGCTGACTAAGCCTCTCAAACCCTGTTCTAAATGGAGTGTGGTTTCTAAGTCAGGGAAATGGAAGAGGCCCCACCCACACAGGGACAGGGCCATGGCCCCACAGGATGAAGCAGCAGCATTTATTCAAGATACAACAGTGAGGGAATCTGGTCACATTCCCTTCTCCCCGCAGAGAGCGCATCTTGACAAGTGATCCAGTAGAAACCTTTTAAACTCTGTAAGTTAAGTTCATAAAAACCACTGTCTTCACCCTGTCTCCCAGGGCCAGGCCTGGACTCTCAGATGCACTGGCTTGGGGCGCCCTCGGGTGGCCACAGGGAAAAAAACCACAGTCTGAGGCCAGTCTGGGGCTTCCAGACCTAGGCGGGATTTGCCCAGTCCACCTGTCCTTTGCCTTTGGGTCGCTGTCTCTTGGCAGATGGCCCGACACTTGGTGGCCCAAGGACACCTCAGGAAGGTTCCCACTCTACGGATGGCCTGATTAGCCAGAGGTTTCCAGGCCGTCTGTTCGCCTCCTGGAGATGGACTGGGGCTCTTAGACTTCGGTGGAGAACAGGATGCTCTGTCTCTTGCTGTCCGGGGCAGGGATGGCCTCCAGCTGCAGGAAGTACAGCAGCACCTGGACCTGCCGGGCAGAGTGGGGAAGAGGAGAGCGGCTCAGAGCGGGGCTCACAGCTGCTGCTGGTGGGGAGGTCTTTGGGGCGTAAGCCTCCAAGTCCACCTCAGGTGCTGGAAACCCTTGCTGGTGTGATGAACCCCTTACAGTGAGACGGGGGTGGGGTGGGGTCCTGACAAGGCATGACTTGGTAGGGGGGTGTTTATTTTAGAGATGCACAGGGCCTTGCTCTATCCCCCAGGCTGGAGTGCAGTGGCTCCATCATGGATCTCTGCAGTCTCTAACTCCTGGGCTCAAGCGATCCTCCTGTGTCAGCCTCCCAGGTAGCTAGGACCACAGGTGTGTGCCACAATGCCTGGCTAATTTTTCTTTTAATTTTTTCTAGAGATGGGGAATGCTACATTGCCCAGACTGTTCTCAAACACTTGGGATCAGTTATCCTGCCTCAGGCTCCCAAAGTGCTGGGATTACAGGCATGAGCCACCACACCCGAACACGAGGTGGTTTTAAGCCCCCAGCAAGGTGCACCAGCAGGACCAGGAGGTGGCCTGGGCCCCCCGCCATCACTCCCATCCATGCAGACCTAGGCAAGTCCCTCTCTCTCAATCTCGGCCACACCACATACAATGCAAGTAGGAAGATGGGCAGGACTGGGGGGTGGGACAGGCAGAGGCCACCTCTGTCAGACTGGGGTGGCATGGGCTGGAACCTGTTCTTCCCATACCTGGGACATGACCTCCAAGGACCAGCTGTCGGTCATGGTGATGGGCTGGCTGGGGTTGGTAGGGAGCTTGCTCTCCTTCTCGGAGGGCCGGAGCAATGTGGGGCCAAAGACCGTGGCGAGGTTGTGCAGGGACATCTTATTGACTGCCTCCTTCTCTGCCACCCTGTAGAGGACCAAAGCAGAGGGTGCTGTTTCACCACCACCACTAGCAGAGAGGCGGAGGGGCTGTGCCACGCTGGAGTCCTCAGGAAGGGAGTGACCTCGACCCTGGCTGTGCTGCAAGCTGACTCCAGCCCTGGTACTGCTGGGTCTTGGCAGCCCAGGACAAAGGGCCAGCTCCGGGCTGGTGGGGAGGTCTCCTCCTTGATGTCACTGGGAGGGAAGAGGGGGCTCCAAGTACACTGCTGGCCATGGCCAAAGCTCTGAGCTCTTTAAGGCCACAGTCCAAAGCGAGGAGGGTGGCAAAGATGAGAGGTTGGGGCAGGGGTGGCAGTGGCACTAGTCCCCAAAGGCAGTAAGTGACTGCAGTCAGGGGAAAAGGTCCTTGGTGCTGGAGGTCCGGTGGGAGCAGAGGGGCACCCCATGGCCTGGGGACCTGCAGCCACGGGCAGCCACAGGAGAGCTGGGCTACCTTTTCAGGTGGTCCAGAAGGAAAAGGAAGGTGAGCAGGTTGGCCTCCGGCAGGGACAGCAGCAGGTTGAGCATGCAGCTCTCCTTTGCAACCGGGTCTGAAAGAGCTGGAGAAGGCGGTGGGTTACTCCGCAGGGTCACAATGAGACAGAGACCTCTCCTGAGGTGGTTACGTGGAGTGCCTGGGTCTTGTGTCCCTCCACAGCCCAGGCTCTTCATCATCCTCAGTCCCACAGCTCTGGCCCCCAGTGAGGAACCTGCGAGGGGCGCTGGTGTGCGGTATGAGCCACCTGAACACCTTTTCTCTACCTCACAGGGGTCAGCAGCACCCAGCAAATGGCAGCAGGAGGAGCCATGAAAGCCGCTCATGGGCAGAGCTGCCCTTGGGCATCTCCCGCCACCACCCCCTCCCCAGGGGAGCCCAAGGTAGGGGAGGCTCGGCGTGGAATGAAACGGGAGTGAGGGACACAAAGGAGGTGGGAAGTGGGAGGGCCCCAGCCCCACCAAGTACGCAGAGACCCCCTCATTGTCCTGGACACCACAGGGCCACCTGCAGCCTGGGTGTGCATGGGCCCCGCGGGTAGAGCTGCCCTAAGGGTGACGTGGAGGTTACAGGTGCTGCACGTGCCAGCGCCCACTCTAGCCATCAGCCTGCAGGTTGACTAAGGGTCAGGCCAGGTTTGAACCCATGCTTGACTGGGCCAGGACCCGTGGCCAGAGCACCTGGGCACTCCTTCAGTCCTGGTCTGCAGGAAGGAGGACAGCAGACTTTAGGACCCCACAGCACAGCAGTGCTGACCATTTCACTCTCTTGGTCTCCTTGAGGAATAGGGATGGGGAGCCCTCTGGGGATGGGCGAGGTCTTCCAGGACAGGCTTGATTTTGGTCCCCTGCTTTCTGAGGTTGGGTTAAAACACCGACCATGGCAGAGGGGGCATAGCTCGGGTTCCCACACATCACTTTTCACAGCCTCCAAGGGCAGCAGTGCACGTGGAGGAGACGTTTCCCATGAGGCCAAGGCCTCCAGTGCTCACCGATGCCTTCGGCGAAGTTGGGGTAGAACTCGTCGGTGAAGAGGGGCTCGGGCAGCTCACGGAAGTACAGCTTCAGCGTGCCTGCGATGGCGTTCACATCCATCTCGCTCATCATCACCGACACGTCCTTGTTATCTGGAAAGAGCACGGAAATGCAGCGGCCTCCTTCAGGATCCCGAGTGAGTCTCCCACCATCCCTGCCTTGGCTAAAGCACCGTCCCTGCCATGCTGACCACTGTGCGGGTCCCTCCCCGGCTTTGAGCAGCTCATCTGACTCCTCCCAAGAGCTGTGTGTGGTTCTGTGTCTGCAGAGTTGATGGGGCTGCATGGGCACTCCCATTCCTCTCCCCTGCTTGGCCCGAGGTGACGGCCAGGAGGAGGCCAGCACAGCAGGACACGGTGCCTGCGTGGGAATCGGGTGACTCTGCCCTGTACCTAGCAACCACCCTTGCACCAGTGTCTTCTGATGGCAGGAAGGCTGTGGGAGAATCTGATTGGTTTCAGTGTTTGAACTGGTGTCTTCCTTTGGGCCCAATTGGTCACTGGTGCTTGCATCTTCACTGCAGGCCAGGTCTATTCTGGGCCCCCAGAGGGAGCTGAAACTACCACAAGCCCTCCCAGGGGTGCTGGGCATTCTAGGGGTCCTGGTCAGGGTCAGTGGTGTGTGCCCCAAAGAAGGGTCTGCAGGCACAAAATCCTGTTGCTTTGAAGATGCTGGGAAGGACCCTCTGGGGTCTCGATGCCCTCCCCTGGCATTTGTGGCAGTTCAAGGTCCTTCATAGCCTGTGAGGGTTGGTGAGATAGAGGCGGAGATGACACAGCCCTGGCCTGAGTTGGGTCCCATCGGTGCCCTCTGTCTGCCGCATCCTCACACAGGGCAGTGGACAGAGTGCACTGAGTCCTGGGTGTCCACCCCCAAGGCAGAAGGCCAAGGCCCCGCAGAAGCCCTGGTTCACCCCAGCAAGCGGCATATGTAGCAAAGATGGTTTGAATACTGGCTTCTGTAGAAGCTTTTTCTACAACTCTTGTTTTCTCTTTTTTAAAAATAATAAAACAGTAAATGAAGAAAAGACACAGAGAAGGATGTGACATGCCCGGGCCATGGAGCGCTCTGAGATTGCATCGTGGACACCACCGCCCACACCTCCATCCCGTCCTGCGCAGGCCAACACTCACTGACGTCGAAGGCTGCCTTCAGTGCCTGGATGTCCGTGGCCACTCCGGACACGCGGTAGATGCCCACCTCCTCCATGCCTCGGCGCTCGATCTCCTCCACGCACTGGCGTACGATGTAGGGCACCTTGGACCTCTCTCTCCTATGGAAGGAGGAAATGTTCTCAATGTCCTGTCAGCCCTGCTTGGGCCACAACACAGGAAACCTGTCCCCTATCTATACACATGGAGGTGGAGTGAGGACGGTGACGAAGATGCCCAGGTCTGGGGCTGCACACACAGCCTTCTGCATGCCTGTGCTCCCTCTGCAAGCCCTGTCCTCATTGCATGTACTTTCTCAGGACCTTTCTAAGAGGCTGAAGTAGCCAGACCCTCTGCAAATCACACATGATCTTTGTGGGAAGGTCAGGAGTCCTAAGTAAAGTCAGCACAGAAAGGGCATCTGATAGATTCCAGGCCTGGGGTTAGCAGCCTCTGCCCCCAGCTGGGGGATCAGACCCGGTGTTGGTCCTGCCACCCGCGTGCTGTGTGAAAGGAGAATCCATGACCCCTGCCCTGGGCTTGGACCTTAACACACATCTGACGAATGAAGGGCTGCCTCAGCACCAGCAGCTCCTGTGCTGCTAAGTGCTTTTCTCCTCTGAATCTTAGCACTGAACAATTCCAATACCACCACACAGGACACTAGAGTAAGAATACTTCAAAGTGAGTGCCGTGCTGAGGCCTTTAGTTCTGTTTTGCAACTGGATTTGGGAGCACATCAAAAGCTGCTTCTCAGGCCACCCTCATTAGCAGTGGTTATTTGGGGGAGCTGCTGCTGGAGTCCTCACTGCTCATGCCCAGAGCCCTCCCAGAGTGCTATGCAAGTGGCTGCCGTGCAGTTGGGGGTGAGCGTGCTGTTTAGACACAGAAAGGAGTCCAGGGTATGATTGATGGAGGCCCCGGCCCACATGACCAGCAAGTTCAGGGGCCCAGCTGGATTCCATCCTGGGGAAGCAAATGAATTCTCAGAGGAAGTGGTCTGTGTCTGCAAGAACTGCTCTCAAACCAAACAGGCTTCTCTTGGCAACTGACTCGTGACAAAGGGGCAGGGGTTATGGCCATTCAACGGGAACCTGGGACCGTGACAAATTCCAAGCGAGGGCAGAAAACCCTGCACTCGGGCAGTTCCTGGAGCCAGCCCTGCTGCTTCCAAGCAAGGCGGCAAGGACACTCCTGAGCTGGTGTTGAGTAAACACAGGAAGTAGCTGAACACACCAAGTGTTCCCTGGGCCCTGACCTCACCACGCAGCGGCCACGCACAGAGAGGAGAGACCCACACATGCTCTTCTCTGCAGAAACAGCTGAAGGGACAGGCACCCTCAGTGCATGAGCCCAAGCCCCTCCCCACTCACTTGGTGACCACAGCAATCTTGACTCCGAAGACCCCTGTCTGTTTTCGGGACGGCATCCTCTTCAAGCTGAACTCCCTGCTGTTGAACTTGATCGAGAGCTTTACTTCAATCTATAGAGGGGAGAAAGGGCACAGTCCTCTGATCTGTCTGGTCCTCAAAGCCCAAGGTCCCGAGGGCCCCTGGGAGTCTCATCAAATATTTCCACCCCCAAGGCACGCAGCGGTCTCAGCATGAGGTAGGGCTGCCCCTCAGGGAATCCCCTAGTCTACTTCAGCAACAGCTGGGATTGTTGAAGATGGTGTAAAGGACTGGCTTCTGCAGAACCACCTCCTAAAATCCCTGCTGCTTCTCTTGCTTGCTTGCTTTTTTTAGATGTAGGATCTTGCTATGTTGCCCAAGCTGTACTCGAATTCCTGGGTTCCAGTAATTCTCCTGCCTCAGGCTCCAGAGTAGCTGAGACTATAGGTGCACTGTGCCCAGTTCTCTCTTTCTTAGTAACAATTAAAAATTAAGTGAGAAAGACTAACAATAATGTAAGAAAAAGCCAATAATCGCAAATATTAACGTTTTACCATATATGCCCAGACCTTTTTGGGTGTGTCATTGCTTTTAAGGTCTAAACCTTTCTGGGGTACCTAAAGACAAATCGGGGGTCTCCATTTCTACAGGCAGCCCCCAGGTTCCCCGAGTGGAGGCCCCACCTGTCCTGGTGGTGCCATGAGACCTTTGTTTGAGGAGGGATGCTCAGGGCCTGGCTGGCAACTGTATCCCAGCCAGTGAATGACGATTCCCGGGCATGGCAATTCTGCTCTTCGGGGAACCTCCCTCCTCCAACCAGGCTCCGTGTCAGACGCTGGCTCAGGCTCAGCCACCTCTGACCGATTTGAAATGAATAGAGGCCACCCTACCCTTCTGGGGGAAGTGGGTGCCAGGAGAGTCCCACGGACACGTACCCCATTCATGGCGATGACGGTGCGCTGCCAGTCTCTGTCCTGCAGGGCCTGTGGGTCCAGCTGAAAGCAAGGAGTCATGATTGGCAGAGGCCCTGGCGTCTGTTCAGAGGCTGCACGGGGCAGCAGCCCACACCCGCCACTTCTCCAGTCCTCAGTCAGAGACAGAGCCTGACTGTGGCCAGCATCTCCACCCAGAGGCCAAGAGGTAGAATAAGGAGGGGCCTGCCAGACACCCCTGGAACCCAGGACCCCACTGCTCCCAGAGCCCTGCTGCCTGGGGCTCCCACCCGCTCCTCCCTCTGCCCCTCCCAGTTGGGAGCTGATGCGCAGGCTGGCAGACTCTCTCCACCCGGCTCCCATCACCACGGGTGCTATGTGGAGCTCAGTGAAAGGCGAGTTGTCCAGCAGCAACTTCAGTAACAACTCCTGGGGGCCTGGTATCCACTGCTGCTGCCTGGGGAACTGTGGACACTGTTCTCCCCCTGCATGAACAGCTCGTGGCAGGAGGAGCCTGCAGGCCACACCAGTCCCGTGGTTCAGAATCAGGCCCAGGAGGACCCAGAGCCAAGCCCTAAATCGAGCAGCTGGTGAGGCGGCCGGGAGGAAGCCCCTCTGTGACCCCTCTAACTTCTACCCCCACCCAGCCCTGTCCAGGCAGCTAGCCTGCAGGAACTTGTCCTTAATGTCACCTGAACACAGTCTGTGCTGGTACAAAACACCCTGTCATGACCAAGCTACACGTCCCCTGTCCGTGAAGGCTCTGTCTCCCGTTTTATGGGGAGCACAAGCTCTGTGTCAGCAGTTCCTGGGCACACAGAGACCACTGGCTGGGCTGGGTGAATGAGCATTACCATCTTGTTAAAAATACACCTTCCTGGGCTCCACCTGTAGAAAACTGGACTCATAATCTGGGTGGGACCTGGGATTTGCACAACTAGAAACCCCAGGTAGTTCTGGAGTGAAGCCAGGTCACGGAG